ACGCCTAGTTAATCGTAACAGTATGTCGTTTTTTAAGAGCAGCATCCGTAGTGAAGTAAAACGTTATCCACTGTACTCACTTTCTGTGAACCGATGAGGCTGTCTGTTTCGCACTGCTGACTCACTCAGTAAAGTACCGTGGTCCAAACAAACTTTACACAGTGATGACTGCCGTTCGATTGCCGCACACGAGAAGCGGCTATAGGAAGCCTGCACACATGTTAGGCACCAGCTAGGACTCAAATTTAGTACTTAATGCCTCCCAAGTACACTGGTCGCACTAAACCAACCAGTCAGAAAAGACTAAATGCCACAGACAAGAATAAACTTATCGAAACACTGCAGATATCAGAAGGTCACGAATTTTTGAACGGGTTAAAATGTGACCAGTCAATTGCTAAAATTTAAATAAATCGAATGTTTTGTCTAACGCATCCCTATTTTCAGGTGTGATACAATTTTGATTGCACACTTTCATGCTTTTTTATCATGAACTTTTCAGTCAAAATTGCCACTGATTGTCGCTATTAAAAACCGTCTCTCATAAGTCATTCACAAACCAGACATTATTTTTTGCTGTTTAACACGGGATATAGTCAGTAGTTGAATTTGCTTAATAGGTGCATAGCGCAATACGCAAGTCACTAAATGAAATTGAATAAATAAAAGCAAAGAACAATATCCATTTGGGGATGGAAATTGCTGTGTGATGACCGAAAAATTGCACTGGATAGTTGTCTAGTCGACAATGCTAACTTTTGTGTTATTCTCAGGAGTCGAATCGCGAGCCGTCGGCCATCAGGCAAAAGATATGAGATTGACGCGCGATGCATAATATCTGGCATCTCGAAAGAGAGAACAGCTTAAATTAACATGAGTACAGGGGGTTTAAAATGAAAATAAATAAAATCTTTTAACTTCTTTTTTATTTATTGAATGCACAAATGCGCAGTCAACTCTCAGGAAGGGAGACGAGGCCATACAAAGGCTGATTGCGATAATATAGAAATGGCGAAGACGGGTAGGGATGGAGCGGTTCGAACCCTGAACGCCCGGGTCAAGATTTGGTGACCTAACCACTTGTCATTAAAGTGCATTCGTCAGGTTACCGTGACCCGAACTCGGGTCATAATTCACAGATTAGGTGCTAGCGGGGAAAGCATTCAGTTTGTTGCTAATACCCTTATATTCTTCTACTACGAGTTGATCGATTTCATGAAATGGATTTAACATGAAGATCGAACTTCCAGTAATTCAGTTCAATTCAGCAATAGATTCAATTTATTCAAATGGATCTACTTTCCGTACAAGACTCATCCGTACAATGATTGTTGAATGGTTGATCATTGACGTTATCCACAACAGAGTGGATCAATACCTATTCATGGTGGTATCGTCACGGAGATAACAGTGAAGTCTGATGCGCGGTGTGTGATAGTTCGGCAACAGAGCAACTGGTGTCCATATCTATTTGGTGAGAGGGAAGATAAGAACTCGGTGTTCCGTGAGTGCGTTCAGTCAGACAGAGTACTGTTGCAGAACCTGTCACATGAGAAACGGTATTTTTCATTATAAAACAGGCTAAATGAGAGCAGGAGATACCATTGGAATGAGGCGTAACGTTGATAGAAGTTCGGAAGAAAATTAAATCCTCCAAGCAAAGATTGGCAAAAGCATGACATAGATATACCGTAGATGTACGAATGTGTGAACGCTTTACTCGGACCAGAAGGTGGGCGTAGTGAGAAACGGTTGCTCTAAGATGTTGCACGGATCGAACTTGCGGTATTATTTTTATTATAAATATTCTTCATTAAATTAATGAAGAATATTTATTTGCAACGGGTGACAAGCGCCCACCAATGAGTAGCGAAAGGAGAACATCATTTTTTAAGACATTCGAAGACAAGCAGGATAACGAAGATCACAAATCAATGATGGAAGATGATTAATTAACAAGTTCGAGGAACTAAAAATAATATCAGATGTAGCGAGTCGCTTCTAGTACGTAAAATATATCTCGACTTACATAAGTTTGATTATATATATATATATCATTGTGTGCTTCCATATAAATTTCGTGGAGTTATTCATTTACTACTTATTGTAAAACATTCCGTAAAGATTCTTAAGTCGTGTTTGCTACGGTTAGTAGCATCTAACACACCTATAAAACCACGAATCACAGTATTGATTCATATCTAGACCGGTTCTGCAACAACAAACAACTTTACCCGGTGTTGCAAATATGATATCTGTCACGAAACTAAACTTCTTTGGTACAAGTGCATGAGTGAACTGACAAAACTTACCGAGTACGCATGCCTGACGAGTGGAAAGAACTGTGAAACCGGTCATGTAATTTCACAGAAATTCTGTCAAGTCATTCATAATTTGGTTTTAAAAATGCTTAGTTGTGTGAAAGTGAACAAACCAACTGTTATAATCCTATTTAAAATGTTTTATGTACCGTAAATATCCCCTTTGAAGTTCCTCTGAATAAAGTGAACGCACGAAGCATTTCGCCTTACTTTTATAACATTCCGAACAACTGGTATTCATTCACAGGTATTTCATTGTCCTGCAAACTTGGCATCTCATCGACGTTGGCATAAACTTCGACCTGCAACCAAATTCTCTTCTCTCACCTCATCGATCCCCAAAAGATTGTCACCTGCCCCGTTCATTCCAACAGAAATTATACACCCTCTCTGTTTAACTGTCGATTCACGCCAAGTCGGCTACCATCGAGAACATTCGGCTTTGGAGTCAGGTGTGGTTCAGCCAACAACTTGCCCGTCTTCTTCATCCTCTGTCAATCTCATCAGCACAGCCGAACAGTCAAGAATTAACGGTGCATTTCGTGCGTCTAAACGGTTCCGTCCGACAATGACAATAACAACAGCAACGACACCAAACACAAGAACCGACTCACACAAATCTAAACCAAATCCGTATTCTGTGGAAGCATTACTGGCTTAACTGCATTCATCATCCACGATTGAAATAAACTATCTCTTTCTTCAGTCACCGCTACATTCTATCAGATCTAGCAATTCAATCCGTTCGGGAAAGCAGAGTTCCCGGTTAAAGGGCACATTATGAGTGCGTCTAATTGGGACCGTGCAATTCGAATGATAATAACTCCACTTATGAATCTGTGTAATTGTTTGTATGCGATTAGAAATTTTACTGAGCGTTTCGATTGATGATAGAATAATAACAAATCTCTCAAATGATACTGAAAGCAGGTGATAATTTCGCGTACAGCACATAATGTTTAGTCATGTCATAAACGTATGGGTAGCGGGCATGCGTGTGTATGGAGGGAGGGGGGTGGTCAGCCTGAATTGTATGATACCTTCGCACTATTTGACATTCTGTAGATGTGGGCGTTATAGTGATCAGCTTCTTCAGATTCTACTGGTTTTCAGTGTCTATCGGAAGCAAAAAATTTCGGTGTCTGGAGAAAAATCAGTATGTTATTCGCATTAGTCGATGACTTCGATAGTGCGCACATTTGTAATGAAAACACTGCGCAGTATACGATCGCCACGCCTCATTCGTGAACCAAGCTCTGCAAAATAAATATTTACAGAAAGCAAAATTTTCAACACTGGTTGACTTCAGAATATTCCGATACGTTTGGATCTGTCTGTCTCACAGCGGTATGACTAAAATTTGTGCGTCGAGGCTAAAGGACTATTGCGGATCGCGGCTAATGAATTTCGGGTTTTTATTACAGCTTGATGAGGAAAGGTTTAAACCAATTTGATTGAGCAGCTTGGATTCCTTAATTGATCATGTATCGGATTCTGACTCATTCTTCTATGTGATGAAGTAAGTAAATAAAATTGCCGCTGTGACAACCATCTGGTACACCAACGCGAAAACATTGAGTCTGACACCCCAACATCCGAACAGAGAAACCCTGTCTCACTCATTCTCTCTCTCTCTCTCTTGATTGAGAGAAGTTCCGTCTATAGTGTTTATCAGAATAGGATTCACGAATCAAATAGAGTTACAGAACGATATTTTTATAGTAAGTAGCACAAGAATATATGTGAGCGAAACTGCCGGGAAACAGTTTACAGTTGTTTTAACTTTGTTGGATACGATAAACAGTGAGACTCCATTGATTAAACTGAATCGAACTCGAAACCTCACAAGTAAAATGTGTGCATACAGCTTCTGCGTGGGCACCAAACAGCTGAGCAGGTTTGATAGCACTATCTATACACGATAGAAGAAGATCCATCGCCGTAAACTCATCGCGAGCAACTGACCTCACGCATCTCAGCACAAGCCTTCTGGGTTCGGGCTCATTTGAAATATTCCGACTACGTGGTACAATGGAGCAGTGAACGACTTGATTCCACCATCAGTGGAAGCTATGGTAATTTAAGGAGCAAAATAAAACATTTGGGAAGTACTTTAAAGCTGTTTCCTCACTGTTGGATATCGTTCCGTCGACCGGCGGAAGTCATAACTGAGTATGATTTTAATCTATACCTTTTGCAATTCAAGTTGTCCCGATATCACATCAAGCTATCCTCAGATCATTTCAAGTTGTCCGACCATTTTTTTCAAGTTGTCCAAGTATCATTTCAAGATGTTCTCGCACCAGTTCAAGCTGTCACGTTGACGTCACTGGTGCTGACAAGCCTCCCAGCGATGTCTGCATGACCACCATGCAGCACCGACTTCTCTGCCTCCCGATGAAGACCCAATACGAAGTGATTAGTTTCTCATTTACACAACAGCTCGAACATTTCAACGCCTTTCCTAGGTCAACCCAATTCCTCTGAA